AAGCTTGATGGCATTATCAGACTTGTTACAAGGTTGTTCTAACAAGTCTGATACAGTCATGATAAACAAGAATGTTACAAGGTTGACGACACAAGGTTGTAACAATACTGCTATATCATGACTGTATCGGACTTGCTGGAACAACCTTGTAAAAAACCTGATAATATCAACAAGGTTGTTACAAATTGTTAACAGCTTGTTCCAAACTTGTTGACAACTTGTGACAAGCAGTGCGAACACAACTTGTTGACGGCTTGTTGACAGACTTGTTACAAGATGTGAGGTTTTTGCGTGTGTAGTCGTTCACGGTTCACATGCATCAACAGACAAAATCACACTAGAAATCGCAGTGAAAATTGCAAGTGTCAACGGGCCTTTAGGCAGCATTAAAAACAGTATTTCACACAATTCACATCTTTGAGTATCATTCCGAAAGTGACAGCTGTTGACCAGAACAAAATTCTCTCTTAATGCATTTATATATCACATAAACAATATTATTTTAATAATATAATTTCAATTCGAATTTTATGTGATTGCTTCATAACTCACGTCAAAATTGTTGAATGGCATCATCCGTTGGTCTCTGTTTGAAAAACGAAGTCAATATCGTCTGCGCATAGTCTTAGCATATCGTCCTGTGAAGATGAGAGTTCTTTAGAATAGACAAAGAATTCGTACATTGTCAATTTGGCATTGCTTAAGTCCCGGTCAAACGAGAACAAGAGTTGGACGAAAGTTGATGAGAGTTGACTGGATATTATAAACTAGAATGAGAGTTGATGAGAGTTGAGAAGCGAGAGTTTGCATGAGAGTTTTCTCAACTCTCATGCCCCGGTCAAACGAGAACAAGAGCGTGAATATTGATGAGAGTTGACTGGATATTATAAACTAGAATGAGAGTTGTTGAGAAGCGAGAGTTTGCATGAGAGTTTTCTCAACTCTCGTGTCCTGGTCAAACGAGAAGGTTGGTTCGTTTTCAGTTTGGGTTGGTTGGTAAACGTATTAATATAGGTTGAGTGTGGGGGGGGGGGGGGGGAAGCTAGGTTAGGCAGATGGGCAGATTAGGTAGGAGGGTAGATAGATATAGGTAGACACGATTGCTTTGTGTGTGGGTATAGGGCCTCTATACTCCTCTACCTCCCTACGCAAATTTGGATAAGTTAGTTAAGTCTCACCTCCAAGTTGGTTTCTTCAATAGGTCTTGAAAAATGTTTCCATTGCAGTAACTCGGCCATGGAAAGATTCTTTTCCTTTAAAAACCGTGTGAAGTTAAAATTAAACCATCCATTATTATATAATTGGAGTCTGAACTACCTCAAGAAGATAAAGGCAAGCCTTTTCGCCAAGGACGTCGCCCTACTACACCCACCCCCACCGCCGAGGATTTAATATTTTTCGGGTTCAAACCACGGCAGCGGATTGTACAATACTGTATCTACCCTGGAGCCTAGTGTTTGAACTATTACACATGGATGTAAAAATCTCGCATCTTGTCAACAAGATGTGTTCGCAACAGGCTTGTAACAAGCTTGTCAACAAGTTGCAACAATGTTGTCATTTTATCAAGCTTGCTGTACAAGGATGTTACTCACAACTTGTTATCAAGTTTGCGGGACGATTGCAAATTGTTGGAACAACCCGAAACAAGTCTGTTGAGTCGAGAACCTCAAACTGGGAACAAGCAGTGCGAACACATCCTGGTGACAAGTTGTTGAAACAGCATTGGTACAAGTCTGATGCCGATTTGTACAAGTTGTGCGTTTTTACGTGTACACCGTACCTTGGTTTCATGTCTTATGCCACCCAGGCCCAGCTGACATTTTCTTGCAAGATTGACAACACCCGATGTCACCGAACGGGCGTTTTCCTCCTTAAAAAGTGAGAGGTGACATTTTTAGTCTAAATGTAGAGCCTGCTTCTACTGCCAATTACATATCAACTAAATTACTGGGGTTGGTTGTACCACAGTTTATAGTGTTGTACGAAGGCCGGACAGCGCTCTTCACGGGATAGTGATTTCTTCAACCGTTGTAAAAATGCTTATAAAGCTATAAAATTATGGATCAGGACCTCACAATTTATAAACAGAAACTTTAATTTATAAATACTAAAGTTCAATCTGGGTTATAGCAATTAACGGATAATTTTACGAAGCTTGAAAAAATCACCAACCGGTCCGATCTTCGTACACCAGTCCCAGTGTAATAATATAGAGATTCAGATTTGACTATCACTACCACTAAAGGACCATTAATCAATCAGATGCATTTGAACTATTCGATTAACCAATCAGATGCATTTGAACGATCCAATTAACCAATCAGATGCATCTGAACTATCCAATTAACCAATCAGATGCATTTGAACTATCCAATTAACCAATCAGATGCATTTGAACTATCCAATTAACCAATCAGATGCATTTGAACTATCCAATTAACCAATCAGATGCGTACTAAGCCAGTGAAAGGTAGTGGCAGTCAAATCTGAACCTCTATAGGTGGGTTTCACTAAGCTATATACAACATGGGGAAACGCTTGATGGTCAACTTTACACGTACTACCACTTAATGTTTTGTGGAAGCGAGCACATTTCGCCAAATTACATCATTTACCAAACACAAAGTCAATTACACATATAATGAAAAATTAACTCGCTCTGGTAACTGTGTTTCTTTCTGGAGTTGACTACCACGCGCTAAATGTACCACGTGACTGAAACCCAGCTATTAATAAGGTTAAGCCAACATCTCACCTCTCCATGAGTCTTGGTGGTACAAGAGCAGTTCAACAGTTCATGAGTGAGGCAGGTTGTTTTCGTATGAAGAGTAAATAGATCCTAATTGAAATAAAGTGAAGCCATTGTACTATAAAACCTTTGGTGGTAAGTACTTTCAAGGGTTGGGGTTGAAGCGGTATTAGAAGTTAAATTTGAACTTCTCTAATGTGCAGCAGTGCAGGTATATCCAAAGACCGCTGTGGCTGCACACTAGATACAATTTTCCACTGTAATCACCTTCAAGTCTTCACGAGAGAAATCTTGTCGTTTTGATGAAACATTTGTGTCCGCCACAGCGCCACTTAACTCTTGTTTACTGATCTGTCTTTGATAGATCTTCTCTTCAATTGTCCCCTGTCAATTTTATGGCAAAACACATTACGTGCGGTGTTTTAAACGTGAGGATCGGTGTGGTCCTCATCTGCTCCAATATTCTGTTTCAACCAGTGAAATGAATATTCATTTCACTGGTTTCAACAAGTGAAGTACATAAAAAATCTTTCAATGTATATAATACCAAAAATGAGTATGAGTATGAAAAACTTTATTTGAGTAGGGTAAATCTTTCAGCATTACAAAAAATGCTGTTACCAACAGGTGCCCTACTAAATGAAATGTTGACATTTGGAGTTTTATCTTCTCGAATGCAAGGGGGTATTTAATTGTTGAGGGGGCGTTTAATTATTAGAGAGAGCGTTCTTGAAGAGGGCGTTTATCGGAATGGGACGTTTAATGGATAGTAGGCGTCTATTAGAATAAATACGGTACACGTCTTACCGTGGTCAAAAGGCGATATATCCTCACTTTCTTTCGTTGTCCATCGCGCCAAACTCTCGCCATTGCCTGGAAAAGAAAACCACTGAAATTTTGAAAGATTTGTGTTTGATATTGTGTGGCTTATGTTGGAATTTTGACAGAAAAAAACCTGGAATTGCAATCGTCCTCGTAGTAAAATCAAGCCACCCCAATGTTTCTTACTTGAATGTCATTGGCTGGGTTCCAGTCGATATCATAAAGTATTAGTGTAGATCCTCCAGTCAAATTTAGACCAACTCCTCCCGCTTTGGAACTCAGTAGAAACACAACTATAAAAAGGTTACGATCTTCCGATTAGTCTTCTCGCAAATGTTATGGGCGTTCGTAGAACCGGTTTTAGTGCACGAGTTTTACCTCTATGGCATGGGTTACATTCCTGCAACATACAGCAGGCACGGATTTTCTGGGGTGGGGGTGCACATCCCCCCTCCCCGAAATGATGCCCACCCAGAGGCATTTGGCACCGCCCCCAAAAGTTTTTGCACCCACGCAAATTATATATAATTTGATTTGATAGTTTCATATTTGATTATTCTTACTACTAAATTTGTAAAATTACCAATATTATGGTCTTAGATCTCGCCATGCAGGCCTAGAAAACAAATTTTGTTAAACCTTTTCCTTGGCCTTTCCGGGCGTTGCCACCACGCCCTGGCCAAAGCAAGCAGCAGCAC